TTCCGACCTCAGGGCCCCCGTCAGAGCGTTGAGACAGTGGCAGAGCGGGGAACACCATTTCCGGCGCTTTGTAGGTGCTCGATGAACATCAGCCATTGGCATCACCAGTGCCGTTATTGCCATGGTAATTATACTGCTGGTGTAGCTATTGCTAGTACCAGATTTGTTGTTAGGATTCTCCTATCAAAACATGTGTCTGTCCCTGTGTCACGATCTGGTTCCTGTCTCTCTGCTCCACTGGACTGTAAACTCCAGGCCCTGCTCTCTCCGGTTCAGCCTGGCTGCGCAGCACAGCCAGGAAGCATTTGTGGCAGGAGGGAGGGAGGGATATGGATCCTTTCCTCCTCACAGGGGGTCTGCCAGGTCAGGTCACTGCTCCTGCTCGGTAGACCTACAGTTCAGGCTCAGAGATGCAAGGTCATTTGCCCAAGTTCACTCCATCTGCAGGTGGCAGATGCCAGTGGGAGCCCAGGCCTGGCTGCCTTTGGACCCCTAGTTTTTTGCCATTGCCGTCCATCATCCTTGATCTTGTCCACCCCAAAGCCATGATTAGGGGGCCTGTGCTGTTTTCTCTGCCATCCAACGAGTGGTCTGTTGGGCAGCATGTTGGTTTCTTGAGAAAAATGTAATGAAAACCAGATTTTTTTTTCCAACATGATATCTCATTCCCCACAGACCGTCAGTTCTCATATATTCCAATAAAATTGCTAAAGAAAAGCCACTTAAAGAGCCTTAAAGATTATTCATGGAAAAATTATGCTGAGGAAAAATAGAGCAATCCTCTGAGATAGTCAAGCCGCATGGTCAGTTTTTCCAGCTGCTCGTGCCATATCAGGCCAAGCTGCAGGGCCCACACTCTGCTCGGCGAGGCCAGAGCCCCAGCTCATTATCACCGCCCCACCCCGCCCCTGCCCACAGGACGTGGAGAAAACAATGCTTGCCAGCCACCCAGCTCAGAAACTGTCCCGGAAGACACGTGTCCCTGGTGCTGTCACATGGTGGCCATCCCAGGCTCAGTGGTGCAGGAACGTGAGGCCTTTCAGTAGCAGGGAGTGTGTCACTTACTGCCAGAGAGGCCACCCCCATTCCTCAGTCCCAGCTGAATGGAAATTCTTGTGCTTCAGCGTCAGCCCAGGCTGTTGGTCAACAATGCAGGGGATGGGAGTAGCCAAGGCCCAGGGCATCCAGAGCAGCGTTAGTTTGGCACTGCGCCCAGGGAGAGCATAGCCACTTTTGCTTGGGCCCCCTACCCTTCCCCTAGCTGTACCGAGGGGCATCTAAGGCCACGCATGCCTCCCAAGGCCATCCAAAGCAGCAAGAAGAGGGGGCGGATCCGGGCCTCTTCCTGGAGGGAGAGTCAAGAGCTGAATGGAAGAGGCCACAGGCAAATCGCAGGCTTGAGAGAGCTGGAAGGTGGCGATCAGAGTCAGGAGTGGGAACCGCAGGGAGACGGATGGGAAAGGGAGTCCATCAGAGTGAGTGGGAAGGCCAAGGAAGTTACTGGAAGAGCCTCGAGTGTCCAGCTCTTGCCGCACTCACAGCTGGTTAAGAGGACAGACCCAGCAGCCCTCCAGCACGTGACCAGGTGTGCTCTGAGCATCCCTTTTGAAATGGCGATAGTCACTGTACAGGACTCAATGAGAGAGGACATGGGAGTGTTTAGATGAGCCCGCCACACAGTTGGTGCATAACACGTTAGTCCCCTTCACCATCCTTTTCTCGTGAGTAGCAACTGGACCTTATTCATCACATGTTGCCTGGAGGAAGTGCTTCCTGCCATTCAGATCACCTCAAATACGTCACTGTTCCTCCTTCCTCCAGTTTTCACTAATGCCTGACCGTTAAACTGTAGAGCTCCTCACCTACCACGCCATACCCCTGTGTTCAAACCTGCATGTCAGAGACATACACGCCCTGGCTTTCTTCCCTGTCAAACGGGCCTACTCAGTGTATGCACTTCATGAACTGCAGCCCATGCACACAGCATGGGGCCAGGCATGGGATGTCCAACCGGATTCATCACTGTTGTTATTGCTACACCACCACCGGTTCAGACCGCGGAGGGGGAGGAGCCATGTGATTTGACCTTTACAAAATATTTTCTGAACCCAGGGTAGGAGCCAGAGTGACTCAGGCAGGGAGACCATAATCCTACTGATAAACAAGGCAAATTCCACCATTTGCACGGGTTCCTTTATTGAGTAATATGTGCAAAACAAAAACAAAGCAGCGTAGCTTCCATCCTTCCTTTTCCTCTCTGGAGCAGCTGCACGAGACATTTTGCCCAGAACAGAGCTTGCTCTCGCTCCAGCTTTGTGCGTAGGAGTTCTTCCCTGGGGCGCACACCAGAATCTCCGGGACAGCCACGTTCAGCCCACCCGAGGCACAGCCGTCAGGGCCTCCACTGCCACACGCTCACCCGAGGACGTGGCGCCTGCCCTGGCTGAGGACTGCAGCCTCAAGGAAGCTGGTGGACAGCGTGGAGCCCCTCGCCAGGAAAGTGCGCACACACATTTGCTGTTTAGGCACAATTTCAGTGTCTCCGCGCGTGATGCCATAGCTGTCCGAACATCATAGCGCTAATGCATGATCCACGTGTTCGTGGTGATGCCAGTGTAAACAAGCCTACTGTACCACCAGTCGTGTAAAAGTGTAGTGTGTGCAACTGTGTTGAATGCGTGAGACTTAGCAATGATAATTAATGGCTATAGTGCTGGTTTGCGTATTTACTTTTAATCATAATTGTAGAGTGTATTCTTGCTACTTGTTAAAAAAAAAAAGTTTGTTGGAAAACAGTCTGTCGTATCACGCCAGCAGCAGCCTCCCATGTCACATGTTTGCTGAGTCTCTTGGTTGCGTCATTTTCTCCTGCACTTGATTTAATCCCATGTTGTCTGTGCGGTGCTGCGCTCTATGGGCTTGTAGCCTGGGCGCTGCAGCCTAGGAGCAGCACCGTGTGGCCCGGGTGTGCCCTAGGCCATGCCATCCAGGTGTGTGTCCAGTGCACGCTGTGAACATATCCCGTCAGGCAGCGCATGGCGGCCTTGGGGATTGGTCTGGCGGAACCCTGTTCTAGAGATGCCATGTGCAGGCTGCATTTGCAGTCTCAGACAGTGCCCTGTCTCCTGCCACCCAGGTAGCTGCAGCCAGAGGCAGTGCAGTGCGGTGGAGTGCCCTCGTTAAGGTTCCTTGGGCCATGAACAGTAGCATCACGAGTGTGCCCAGGGCTCTGGTGAGAAGCCAATGAGTGTTCGTTGGTTTGGCAAAAATGAGGTTAGTGGAAATGTCAGTAGACTGTAGTGACTTGAGGGGTGAGTGAGAGGGACAGAAGCAGAATGATGAGGAGCGCAGACCTCTGTTGGAGAAAGCGTGACTGACAGGGAAGTTCTGGAACCAAGGGACCTTGTTTTACAGAAAACGAGAGACTCGAGTGTGTTTATGGGCTGGGGAAAAGGGCCAGAGAGAGAAGGGGAAGGTAATGGAGTGAATTCTCAGAGGAAGCAGAACGGCCTGGAGAGAAGAGGTCGGCCTTGGGCGGAGGCAGGCCCCCTTCCCAGGCCCGGCAGGAAGGCTGGTGTGGACGGTGCACCCGCGCTGCCGGGGGCATGGGGGAGGGAGCCCAACAGCCACAGCGTTCTCGTGGAGGGAGCGAGCACGTCGCTTGAAAGCAAGGGGTCTGTGGTGAGTGCAGGGCCCTTAAGGAGAGTGGTGACATTTGGGAATAGTTGCTGAGGGGAACAGTGGAGGCAGCTGGCCAGGGCCTAGTGAAGGGATTGGCAGTGGGCCCCCCACCCGGGGAAATGAGGGAGAAGGTGTGTATCCAGAACAGGGTGGGAGGGGAGGGCAAGGGACCCATAGCTCGAGGAGATGCATGTTGCCCCGCCTTGTGAACCTTCCCAAGAGCCAGAAAGGAGCTAGACTGTCCGCAGTGGACAGGCTGTGGCGTTAAAGAAATGGTGGGCCAGGCGTGCTGGAGGAGCCTTTGGTCACCGGTGGATCTACAGCAGCTTGTGGTGGAGGGCCTCACAGGCCCTCCGGGAAAGTTCCCCAGCACCGCCAGGCAGCGGCCCCTTGGTTGGCTGGGTGTGACGTGCTCTGCAGGAAGTGGGAAGCCCTGGCCCCACTTCCAGTGTCTGTCCCAGGCAGCTAAGGCTTAGCATCTTGGGGTCCCCGCCCTTTCCAAGCCACAGGATGCAGTCAGTACCAAGGGGCACAGCAGTGGACGGACCGTGCCCCTCAAACATGGCTGTGGGTGTGGCCGCCAGGGAGGCTTCCGCCTCCACCTGTCAGTGGTCCTCCCTGAGGTTTGTGGCCCCAACCTCCTGGCTCTGATGGCCCCCTGTGGCCCCTATCCTGGAGCTGGAGAACATGGTAATAGTTATAATAATAGCAGGTATGAGTGCTAACTATGAAACTCTGCTTGCATTACCTCCTGGCTCGTCCCAAACACCTGCAAGGTGAGTTGAATTATTTCCACTTTTCAGGTGAGGAAACTGAGGCCCATGGGAATGAGTTAAGAATGTGTCCAAGGTCACCCAGGCAGTGGCTGACGGGCCTGGGGTCCGAGCCCCCGCCTGCCTAGCTGAGCTCTCCCGCAGGAAACCCTCTGCCTCCCTCCCGAGCTCTCCGCCCCTTTAGTTGAGCGAGTGGGTGGAGAAGAGAAAGCGGCTGTGGAAGGGCACAGGCATAAGGGCCCTGGCCTGGGGATCAGAAGACATACTGTTAAGTCCCAGCTCAGTGACCCAGGTGAGTGGCCTGGGATAAGTCATGCCCAGTCAGGGGCGCCGTGCCAGCAGGGCGCCGGCCATCCTGACTGATGTCATCCCCAGGCATTAGTTACACTGGGAGCGAGGGGTCAGAGACTTGGGAGCGGAGATCCTTGGGGCTTGATGGACCTTGCCCTGTCTGTGGCGGCTGGGCCAGGTGCCTTACCCCAAACCCGGGCCCTCGGCCCCGGCGCCTCCACAGCCCCCATCATGCACTCTCCGCTCTGTTCACAGGACCCTCCACCGGCTCCAGCTCTGCGAGGTTCAGCCGGCGGCCCACCTGCCCCGACGCATCTGTTGCCGGCAGCCTGCCCACACCCCCTGTCCCGAGACACAGGAAGAGCCACAGCCTGGGCAACAAGTGGGTAACTGAGTGAGCCCCCTCGGGCTGCAGGTGGGCTGAGCGCGGGGCTGGGCGTGGGCTAAAGGGCCACCGGGAGTGCCTGCCCCGCCCCCCGGGGTTCTCCCCGCCCTGGGAGTTGCCGATGAGCGCTCTCAGTGTCCCTGGCAGGCGCCTGCCCATCGCACTGGCGCGGGGTCAGAAGAGCTGGGGTGGTACTGGTGACAGCCGTCACCGGCTCAGTAGCCGATGGCGGGGGCGTGCAGGGGAGGGCAGGGAAGCAGTGGTGGGACCCCTTCCATGAGCTTGCCCACGCTCTGTCAGCGCCTCCCTCGTGCAGGCCCCGGAGTCCAGCGGGCACCGTGACTGTCATCCAGGCAGCCCGAGCGTCCCTGGGGGCCTGCCGGTCTCAGGGCCCAGAGGCTCTGCTTGTTAATTGCTAGGGAGCCTGCAGTACGATGAACCCGTGCTGGTTCGCCCGGCCCAGAGGGGTTGACAGCGAGGGGACATGTGTGCTCCACGGCATGGCCAGGGACAGCCATGCCTGTGTCCCCGGGGTGTTGGGCGCAGGCTCCTGAACAGTTGGGTCCATCCCTCCCTCCAGCCCTCTGTTCTTCCTTCCTTTCCTCTCTTCCTCACTTCCTTCCTTCCACCACTAAGACACAAGCCAGCCCAGGCTGGTGCTGGAGTCACTCGTAGGCTGGAGGGGAAGATGGCTGCTCTCGGAGTGCTCAGGACCTGCTCTGTGCCGGACACCCTGCTCCGTGCCTGTCAGGCATGATCTCATCGAGCCCCTGGGAGCCTCTGTGTGATGTGCATTGTACCAATGCGTCCGGTGAGGCTCAGTGGGGTGAAGTAAGGTTGGAGCAAGGATTTAGACCACGTGTGTGTGACTCCAGAACCAGACATGGTGACCGCAGGGTCTCACTCCCCCTTCGCCTGTGAGTCCCATCACTCACAAGCACTACCCGCTCACTTGAGCCTCATTGTCATCCTGGGAGACAGGCAGGGCCCCACCTGACAGTTGGAGGAACTGAGGCCCCAGCAGAGGATGTGACTTGCCCAAGGTCCAGCCGTGAGATAGGGCAGAGCCTGGACTTACACCCTGGTTCTGGGTGGAGGCGTATGTCCTGCAGACGCGCGATCTGCTCAGGAGCCCCGGGCAGGCACAACCACTGTTACTCCATAGATAAGGAGCTTTGCCTTCTTTCTTCCTTTCCATTTTCCAGTATGATGTGTCAGTTGAGTGTAGTTGAGAGTAAAAGTGCAACTTTCCCATCGGAGAAGGCGAGGCACCTGCTGGACGACAGCGTCCTAGAGTCCCGCAGCCCCCGCAGGGGCCTCGCCCCCACCTCCTCCTCTGCCATCACCAATGGACTCTCCCTAGGTAAGCGTCTCTGGCCTGCAACGCCAGCGGGTGGCCACCGCCCGGCATGTGCGCGTGTCTGTCTGTCCCTGTGCAGTGCCCAGTGGCCCCTCAGCCCTGCAGAAAGGCCTCCCTACAGGAGCCACAAGGAGCAAACCCAGGAGACCTGAGTTTGTCCTCATCCTGCGGGTAGCCCCGAGCACAGCGAGCAGGTGGAAGGAGCGGCCAGACACATACCTGAGACCCGTCATCACTGCGTGGCAGCTGTCAAAGCTGGGCTGCTGCCAGACTGGGCCTCTGCGCCTGGGGGAGCCCAGGCCCCCCGCACACAGGGCAAAGCCAGGAAAGCAGCCTTGGGACAGCCACTGACAGGCCACCGGGTTCTCCTCTGTGTATTTATCTTCACACCAAAGAGTCAGAGTTGGGAGGGTGAGAAGCGGCCTTCAGGGGTGAAGTTGCACGTCTGAGCTTCAGCTGGCAGTGGTGCCCACGCCACCAGAGGGACTGCGCTGCTCAGGCCAGGGTGGGCGAGGTACAAGTTAGAGCAGAGGACGGCCCTGAGCTCTGGTCTCGGGTCCGTCCCCCTGCCGTGCCCAGGCCGCCTGCCATCCCTGCCATCAAACAGGAGCGCGCTCTGCTGGCCGTGCCCTCCCAGCATGCCTGTGCTTCCATAGTCCTCGTGTCTGTGTTTCTGTCTACTTTCCTTCACAGGGAGCCCTCCCGGTGCTGGGGGCGGCTCAGACAGTTGCCAGCCCAGGGTTTTGACCTGGGGAGGCCTGCAGGGGGGAGGGCCCGTGCGCATGGGAGGAAGGGTGCATGGGGACAGGAGAGGTGGGCAGCAACCTTGTGTCCTACGTGTCTGTGACGTGAGGCCAGTGTCTGAGGTGGTATCACTCCAGGGGACAGCTGTCTCCCACCACCAGAAAGTGTGACAAGCAGGGTCCTGTCTGCCTTCTGTCTTGGGAGGAGGTCATCCTGTTGGGACCCGGTCAGGAGTGGACGGTGGTGTGGTTCAGAGGTGCAGACACCTTGGAGAAGGGTCCTGGGGCCACTGCGTCAGGGGAAGTCTGGTTAGACCAGGTGAGGGGGTCTCTTCCAAAATGCCGAGGGCGTTACGCGTCACCAAGAGGCAGCCGAGTCTGCAGGTTCCCCATTATCTGGTCGTGGAACCCCTCCTCAGTGTCCCGTGGAATGTGGCCTGACCTGGGCTGGGAAACGCTAGCCCGGGAGCAGTCAGTGGGGCAGCCGGAAGCTTCCTGAGCTGTGCCGGAGCCCAGGCCCTGCTCTTCGTCAACAGGACGCTGAGTCAGACTCGGGCTGCCCAGTGTCCAGGCAAGAGACCAGTGGGCACGTAGGTCCTCAGCTCCTGTATCTGTGGGACGCGGCTGTTTTTCTGATTGGAGCTGAAAGCCCAGGAGCAGGTTGCTTTGTACACGTGCCCTGTTTGGAGCCGAACTGGTCCCCTCTGTCCTGTACCTCCCATCGGGTCTGAGGCCTCCTCCTCCCCCTTTCCCATTGCCTAGCCTTGGTGCCAGCAGGTAGCCCGGGCAAAGAGCACTGAACCAAGGTGCCTCAAGGGCTGAGGGGCAGTACAAAAGCATGTAGCATCAGTGAAGTGGCAGGAGAAAATCTCTCTGCTGTCCTTGTGGCGGGAGGCCGGCCCTGGAGAGCCCCTGACAGGCAGGAAGTCTGAGTCAGCCCGGAGAAGCAGGCCTGGGGAAGGGCCGAGCCCCTCTCTGTGCGGATACTGGCCAGGCGTCCAAAGGGGCCCTCCCTGGAGACTTCTGTCCAATGCTAGGCAGCTGCTGTGTGACCCGCGTCTAGTCAAGACCTGACCCTTGGGGGAAGAAGTGCTTACTTGGCCTCTGTCCTCACCAGGTGAGGCCTGTCTGAGCACTGGCTTTCTTTCGGCCAGAAGGAGGCAGTGGGGAGCCAGGCTGGTGCACAGAGGCCTGAGGGCCCTGCCCCCAGTGGGCCTTGGGCGGCAGCTGCGGCCCCCGCAGGGGACAGCAGGAAGGGAGTGGAGGGCCACCTGGGAGCAGAGGGACGGATGGTCCTTTCGACCCTCCCAAGGCAGAGAAGCGGAAATCGGAGCAGCAAAACCCCAGTGGCCATGATGCCCACAGCGTCAGGAAGCCGTTGCTCCAGCACCTCCCTGGAGCTCAGGGGCCTGGGCCCCGGGAGCCAGGAGACCAGGCCCCACTGGGGCTGGCCCCTTGCGGCTGAGGCTGCCTTGCTCACTGATCTGTGTTCCTTTTCCAGGCAGTAGTGAGAGCTCAGAGTTTAGTGAAGAGATGTCTTCAGGGCTGGAAAGGTGAGTGTGGCCTCACTCGGCCCCCCTCCCAGGGGAGGTGCCCAGGGCCCCAGGGAGCTGGAGTTGGCTCCAGGCAGGGACCAGCCCGCAGGCTCACCCCCTGCCCAGCCTGGTGAGACTGCTCAGAAGCTCCTCAGGTCAGCTCGGCCCAGGGCAGGACCAGCTAAGGGGGCGGGGGTGGGGGTCCCAGCCCTGTATTCTGGGCAGCCCCCTCATCATCTGGTCCAGAAAGAGCCCAGGAGCCTGACCCAGCGCCTCTTCCTCAGGCCAGGGAGCCGGGGAGACCTGGGAGCAGGTTTGGTCTCAGACGTGGGCTCTGGAAACCGGAGGCCTGAGAGTGGGCCTGGTCTTGCAGATGGACATGTGGCTCCACCTTGGGGGGTCTGAGCATGTTGTGCCACGTGGCCTCAGGCCTTGGGCTGAGGCCCAGCCTGCTGGGCACCGGCAACAGCACAGTGGGTCCCCCAGCCCAGGGTTTGGCTCCATGTGGGCAGCCCGGCCGCCCAGGGAGCGGGCCTCCTGCTCCGCATGTTGGAGCCCTCTGTGTGCCAGCGCCACGTGGGCTCTGGAAGGCAGGGGCCTGTGTGGGGGCTCCCATGGCCATGGTGCTGCCTGGGGAGGGGCGTTGTGGTGACTTGGAGGGGAGGCGGGGAGAAATCCAGTGACACAGAATGTCATGAGAGGCAAGTTCACACCATCCTTTAGAGCGGCCTTTCCGCTAGCGTGTGGAGACCCATGTACACAGACAGGCACACGCAGTTATATACACTCACACACTATGCATACTAGACATGTCCTCAACATGTGCGTGAAACATACCCACACGTGCACATTTGCACACGTGCATGCATACACATACTTCACCCAGATACACACCTCATACATGCGTGTGCGCACACATGCACACCATTGTCCTCTGGTGCTGAAGCCTCCTGTCGCCTCAGTCTCCATAGTCATGAAATGGCCAGAGAGGAGGTGGCTCTGCCCAGCAAGCTCTCGCAGGGCAGAGGGTGTGATGTGGTGGCGAGAGGCTCCTGGGAGGCGCTCCCTGCGTGCCAGGCACTGCCTTGGCCTCACAGAACTCTCAAGCACTTGGCTACACAGCGGTTCCTCATGGTGTCCCCACAGGCAAAGGTGGGCACGAGGCTCAGAGAGGTGAAGCGACCCGTCTGGCTTCACACCCCTCTGGTGGGGCAGAGCTGCCCCAAATCTACGTCTTCCTGACTGCGAGCCCCCTCTTCACCGCCGTCTCAGGCCTCGCCCAGGGGCACTGGCCCAGGCTGGTCAGTCACTCTGTCCTGGTGAGACCCCAGGTGGAGGACAGGAAGTGGGGAGCCGCGGTGCACGGTCCCTCCAGGCCCTTGCCTCTGTCCCTGCGCCAGGACTCCGTAGGGACATGGGCTCTGCTCTGGTTCTCGGATGGGTGGCCGCACTGTGCTTGCTCAGGGGCCACCTCAGCAGTGGGATGAGAAGTGGCAGGCGCCAGGGGCGGACCCCAGAGGCAGACTCCAGGTCTGCTAAGCCAGGTTTGACCCTTCTCGGCGCCAATCAGAGGGCTCTGGGAGAGCCTGAGGAAGGGGCTCGCAGGCCAGCCAGTGTCTTCCCTGGCTGCAGGCCAGTGAGGGGGCATCGACTGGGAAACACAGGCATGGTGCCAGGACCCCGAGCATCATCCAGACCTGGGTCTATTCCCTGACCCCTCCCTCCCTTCCTCCCTTCCTCCCTCCCTTCTTTCCTTCCTTCCTTTCTTCCATCCGTCCTTCCCTCATTCAACACATTCATTTATTCCATTCACGTGTATTATGCAGCTGCTCCCTGTCAGACTGCACCCCGAGGGCAGCAGAAACAGCTCCTCCTAAGCACCCACAGCTGAGATGAGAGCTCCCAGGAAGGAGGATGGAGAGAGAACCTCTGACCCAGAGAGACAACGCTGTTCCCAGTTCAGTGGGAACACTGGAAGAGCATTTTTTCTTTTCTCTCCTTTGCTTAGAATGTAGCATTAGATTTACCATCCATCCAAATGCCTGTAATAGGCTCTCTGAGGTGGGGTCTCCTGTGAGCGCTGGTCTCCCAGTGAGCTCACCTGTCTGTGCAAGCTCCCAGCCGCCTTCAGGGCTGCCCTGCAGGGAGAATGTCCTGTTGCTCCCTCTCTTGGGACCTAGCACCTGGTCCAGGCCTTCCTTGCTGAGGGGAACTGGAGACCACCTGCTTTGAGAGGCGCCAGTGGGGCCAGGATGTCCCCTCCAGTCCCTTCTGAGACCCACAGCCGTCCCGGCCACCCGGCCCCCAGCTCCTGTGGCCCAGCCCCAGCCTCCTTTTCCGCCCTGCACCGGCCTCTTTTCAGGTCCACCCGAAAGAATCCGCTCCTTCAGAAGCTCGCGAGCCTCCTAGACTTTCCTGGAGGGCAGGATTTCCCTCACACACTTCAAAATCTTGGTTCAATATTCTTTCTCTTGCAGTTCAGTGACCACTGTTCATGTTGCCACCTGTCCTCTCCTGTCCTCACCTTCACCCACCTAATGCTCAGCTCCACGGGCCCCCTTCCCACCCCAGCCTCCCCGAAGCTGCGTGCTCCTGCTCTGCAGAAGGGAGCAGATTCCCTCCCCCTCCCCCAGGAGCCGGGTGTCACTCTGCCCGGGCCCAGAGGCGGCGTCTTCCCCGAAAGAGCCTCCAAAGCACTTTCCAGCAAAGTGAGCCACCCGTCCCTGGGCCCCCTGCCAGCTGATCCTGCAGGCGCTGTGAGAACACAGCTCTCCTTGCGTCTTCACACGTGTGTGCGTGGACAGTGGCCCTGGACCAGAGCCAAGGGTACAGGGGAGGCCTGGGGCCCACCCAGGGGATTGAGGTGTGAGCGGGGAAGAGGCCCTGGCTTCTCCAGCCCCCAGAAGCCAGGCTATGGTGGGGGCAATGCCTTGCCCACAGCCCTGAACCTTAGGGGCCCAACCTTGAGCTGAGTTGCCCACCAACCCCCAGCTCTGGTGGCAAACGTGGCCCAGGCCAGGAAGAGAAATGGGACCAGACACCCGCATGAAGGACAGCGAGGCCTCAGCCCAGTGACCCCTGCCGCTGGCACACACCTGCCTATTGGCTCCAGGGCACATTTTAGTCACCATTTGTGCCACTGCAGACAGGCGGGCAGGAGGCTCCCTGTTGTCCGGCAAAGCTGGGATCATCTGGGCCTGTCTGGCAAGTTTGCCTTCCCCGGAGTTTGTACACATGGGCGCTTCAGCCTGGTAGCCCAAAGGCGGTCTTTGGGTGGCGGCCAGAGCTTGGGCTGTGCCCACTGCTTCCTTGAGATGACCAGCCTTACAGGGAGCCCCCAGAGCCCCGGGGACCGGCTGCGCTGCTCTTCATAGGAGTGGGCCAGGCACCAGCCCTTGTTCTCACTGGGGCTGTGGAGTGAGGGACCGGGGAGCAAAGGGGACCTTCTGCTGCCGCTCTCGTCCTCCTGTCCCCTCACCTTCTCAGCCTCAGCCAGGTCACAGGGCCTGTGGGCTGGGGAGTGGCGGCCGACCCAGGGAGGCATGGGTCATTTCTCACTCTGCAGGCTGCCTTAACGACACTCGCCCTCATTCAGGGCCCAGAATGAGGACCGAGTGGTGGTCCTGGGTCAGGGCCCTCAAGAACCAGCAGCTGGAATCACTGGGGAGGGAGAGAAGGGGGCTCCTTCTCTCCTAAGATGCCTCCTCACTCTTCCACCCCTCAGTTTTCCCACCCCAGTGTCCTGGGAGTGGGGACAAAGGCAGAAGCAGAGCCCTACATCACTCTCTAAGGAGGGGAGGGAGGCGGCCCTTTCCATCGTCCCCATGGGCTTAACTGGAGGTAGGGACGTGATCGTTGTCCCAGGCTGACCTCAAGCAAACCTCAGGCTTCTCAGAAATTAAAGGGGTAAGAGAATGCTTTAGTCGGACTGTCAGTAAAAGCTACCAGGTGGTTCTCTATGCCTGATTTGCCATTAAAAGTGAGAACAAGAATATCAGCCTAAAAGTTAAAAATTTTAAATGAGAGTTTTTAAAATTATAATTTATTGATGATGCTATTACAGTTGTCCTGATTTTTCCCCCTTTCTCTCCTCCACCCAGCACCCCCACTCCCTCAGGCAGTCCCTTCACCATTGTTCATGTCCGTGGGTCATGTGTATAAGTTCTTTGGCTGCTCCATTTCCTATACTGTACTTTTTATGCCCATGGCTATTTTGTAACTACCTATTTGTACTTCTTAATCCCATAACTTTGTTACCCACTCCCCCACACCCCCTTCCCATCTGGCGACCATCAAAACATTCTCTGTATCCATGATTCTGTTTCTGTTCTTCCTGTTTGCTCAGTTTGTTTTTTTAGATTCATTTGTTGACAGATGTGTGTTTTTTGCCATTTTATTGTTCATAGTTTTGATCTTTTTCTTAAATAAGTCCCTTTAACATTTCATATAATAACAGTTGGTGATGATGAACTCCATTAGTTTTTTTTTTCTTGTCTGGGAAGTCCTTTATCTGACCTCTGATTCTAAATGATAGTTTTGGTAGGTAGAACAATCTTGGCTGTAGATCCCTGCTTTTCATGATTTTGAATATTTCTTGCCAATCCCTTCTAGTCTGTAAAATTTCCTTTGAGAAATCAGCAGTCTTATGGGAAGTCCCCTGTAGATAACTAACTTCTTTTCTCTTGCTGCTTTTAAGATTCTCTCTTTATCTTTAACCTTTGGCATTTTAATTATGATGTGTCCTGGAATGGGCCTCTTTGTATGCATCTTGTTTGGGACACTCTGTGCTTCCTGGACTTTCATGTCTATTTCTGTCACCAAATTAGGGAATTTTTCTTTCATTATTTATTCAAATAGATTTTCGATTTCTTGCTCTTTCTCTTCTCCTTCTGGCACCCCTATGATGCAAATATTAGACCTCTTGAAGTTGTCCCAGAAGCTGCTTATACCAACATCATTTTTTTTGGTGGGGGGATTCTTTTTTCTTCTTGTTGTCCTTACTGGTTGTTTCTTGGTTC